ACAAAAATACTATTAACTTTTATTTTTAGTGAAAACAAGAATTTATTGAATATTTAGACAACATTATAAGAAAAGCATTGATATTAGTGTTACACATTTGGGTAACTGAGACTAATTATAATGATATCAAATTAACCAACATAAAAGCTTGTTTTCTTAAATATTCAATTTGTACAATTATTCTCTCTTAACAACTATTAATTTCTTGGTAATAGAAATAAATGGGAATATTTATAAAAGTAAAATGTATAAATTGTATAAATATATAGAAACGATTGACGATTGGATTTATCGTTGAATTCAGATTTGTTAAGTGAATGGACTGTTGAGATGAAAAGACTTTTAAAGTCAAGAGTGTGTGTTAGAGGGGAGTATATAGTTGTATAATATATATAGGTATATAAAGGTACTATAAGTGTACTGGGTAGTGCAGTGCATAATACATAGAGTGTAGTGACTGGTGAAGTGGGGGGTAGGTTCGAGAGCCCCTGTGCTGTGCTTTTAATAGTATTGAATAGTTTGACNAGGTATATAAAGGTACTATAAGTGTACTGGGTAGTGCAGTGCATAATACATAGAGTGTAGTGACTGGTGAAGTGGGGGGTAGGTTCGAGAGCCCCTGTGCTGTGCTTTTAATAGTATTGAATAGTTTGACATGAAATCAAGTCATAAGTTCATTGCGCAACCGCTGAAAAGTTTTGTTCAAAGTCTGAGATATTATTTCACCAAACATTTCTCAAAGGGATGAAAAAAGTGGTCAAAGCCCTCACTGGCAGCTAATTTAAGTATAAGCTGCACCTGAATGCTGAATGTATTGCCATATAATATAATTGTATGGCTGGTGTCCATCCCTTATCACAAGAGCATCTGAACGGCGATCGCAGCGCTTATAGGGTATGCCTCGAGTGGAGTGGAGTTGAGGTGTACTTCAGGGACATTAAACTCTCTCTCTCTCTCTCTCTCTCTCTCTCTCTCGCTTTCATGCGTTTGTGAATAAATATAATCATCAAAAGATATGTTTTATAAAATTTTAGTAATTAGAGGTAGACTTCAATATAACGAGACTATTGTCATTCCTGGACTAACTCATCCTAAATAACACACTTTCATACCATACATATGAATACACTATATATTACAATACAATTCTAAATATTATATAAGCATTTCTCGAGAAAAAAATAAAACTACTTTTGATCCGCTTTTCATTCAGCAGTGAAATGAAAATTTAGATACAGATAGAGATTGATTGCTATTTAAATGATGTCAATCTATTGAATGCCACAAAAATCAAATTTGGTCTCCATATATACTTTTCTATACGATTCATAGATTTTTCTTAATATTCTCATCAAACTCTTAGACAATAGACAAATATATTTCTAAAAGTACAATAAAGGTAAGCATACATATGTAACTAGTATATAATTTAACAATTTATAGAACTTTCTAGTGGCTCATCTAGAGTTTTAGCAAAATAATGTATCCATGATATACTTATTAAAAATTTCTTGGATATTCAAATATTTATTACTTTTGAGAGTAAATATTACATAATATCCTTAATAAACAAATATTGCTAACGTTTATTTGAGTTTTGTTTGAAATGAATTGCATTTTATTAAAACTTGACCCCAGAATATCTTATGAATTATGTCTAATATATTCTGTCGACTCCTCTGCGGAAGTCAATAGACTGATAATGAATTCAATTTTGAGGTCAAATATTATTTACTTATTTTACACTAAAATGGTTAATAATCGGTTTACAATGAAAGTTGCTTGTTAATAAAAAAAATTGCTTGCTAATAGTACAAAATAATTTTTTGTTAAGAAACACTTGTTCTGATATATAATATGTTTCCAAAATTATTGTTAAAATGTAAGATTTAAAAGAAATTGCTATAAAAGACAGCGAAATATTGTTGAATAAAATGGAGACCACTAAAATTGTTTTGGAAATTAATGTATTTTTAAGAAATATATGTAGTCAAAACTATAATTATAAGAATTCAATATAATTAATATGTAGTAAATTTGTAATATTAGTAGAATTGAAGCGAAGGTACAGGACATGAGTTTCCTGGGGCACTGAACTCTCCATTTTTGCATCCATTAGTTATATCCATAGATTAGATCGACTACTGATGGATAATAAGTCTCCGATATCGCTGTCCTGTCCTCACAAATATTATCAATTCGGAGAAATTCGTCACAATTTGTGAATAGTTTTGTTTTCAAGCAAAATGTCTCAACTGTTCGCTCAAATACTGAGTACAGTGAGTCTAAAAGGGCTTATTATAACCGACATCTTGACTGCGAGTCTTATTTATTTATTTATCGTTTTTACTTAAATACTCTTCTAATGAATTCACCTTTTTTGTTTTATCAATAAAACCATTAATAACTAAATTTATCACAAGTTTTAAAAATATCTAATGGCTTTTAAATAAATGGCTTCCAATGTGTCTAATTTTTTAGAAATATACTTTCAAAAATGTATGATTTTTTGCAAAATGAAACTAAATTGAAACATAATAAAAATTAATTATATAATATATTAGTATAGAATAACATTGCTGTTCAAGAATTTAATAAATTAGATAAATAAAAGTTATGAAATAAAACGAACATCAATTTTAATATAAATACTTTACTATAATTTATTAATAATTAGTTGACATTTTGGTAGTTTAGTTGTCTAGCAATGTATATTTATTAAAAATAATACTGCATTACTAGTTTATATTTGTAAATTTTTAAAAATGGCGATAATTTAAGTAATTATTATTTTTCCTAATCTTAAAATCAAATAAACAATAAAACAGCGAACATTTAAAATTTAATAACGCTTTACTAAAAATCAAAATAAGTTATAATCAAGTATTAAATCGATTAAAGTAATTGTACTAAAAATCTAATTTAATAATCAAAATTATTATAATATTCGTAATTATTCAACATTAACGTTAAGTAAGATAATTTTTAATATATAGTGTATTAAAAATGAAAATAATTATAATAAAACAGTATATAGCAAATATTGTACTATACTGTACTATATTAATACTATTAAACAGTATATTCTATACTTATACTGTAGTACTGTTTGTATAGTGTATTGAATGGCACAGAGAATGCAATTAATGTATGATTTGGTGAAAACTAAAAAATCAAAACATTTGAATCAAAACGAGTTTTAGAGTTCAACTCAATTGATAAACAAAGAAGTGTTTGAGTGAAGAATGGGATAGAGAGACAGAGACAGTGACCAAATATAACGACATACAGGTATAATGACAATAATAATAGCAGCCATGCACTTATGGCCTAATAGTGCGCTCAGGTATACAGTGTCGAGGAATACGCTATTATAAAGTGATTGAAATGAATGGAAAGCATCGCTTACTTTCAGTTTTGACTTTTGTTATGCGTTTAGTTAGAAAACGTGTAGTACTGTACTGTACAGCCGTAAGCTTATATAGATGTAAGGGACTGGTATGACTGACCTGACTGACCTGTGGCAAAGTGCCATTCTCTTGTCTGGGAGTGATAGTGGTGTCCCCAATGCCACTGTCCGGAGAAGGCAGGTCCACAGTGAGGCCATGGATGGTTGCTTTGTAAGCTGTGGTGCCATTAGCACTGGTAGTGGCGGGTTGTTGTCGGAGATACCTGTCCAGAAAGGAAGTGGTTTCGGTATCGCTGGTGGTCGTGTAGGTGGCCGTAGGGGTTGTGCTGAGGTGTTGGCGCACTGTTTGGTACTGATCACTGTTGTTGACTGCGGTGGTGGTCGAGGTGGTGGGGTAATAGTCCCGGTAAGTGATGTAGTCGACAGTGGTCAGGTAGACGGTGCCGCCGTTGGTGCACCCATTGGTGGCCGGTGTGACGGTTGCGTACTGTGGGGACACACCTGTGTTCACCTGTTGTACAAAGCAATGCATTACACAATACGGTCGGAAAAGTGAATGGAGTCAAAAGAGTGACACATTTGACACTTTTGTGGCAATACTATCAATACAAGCGAACAAAACCCCAATTTTCTCGGTTTACAAGTTTCTATGGTTTGCATGAATACAGGCATAGAGAGGGAGAGGAGTCACCTGTTGTAGGGCTACTCTGTCTAGGCATGGATGGTATAGAGCAATGAATGGTGCAATAAGTGGTCGTACCTGTACGGTGTAGGGTCCTGTTTCAGCGATGTCATAGGTAGGCGCTGCGAAAGTCAGTTGTGTGGCTGCCGACTGATACGGTTGTGCCGGTGCTAGCGATATGACAGTGGCTGGCGGTGACGGCTCCAGGTCTCGACTCCGGTCCACCCCATTGGCGATCACATCGACCATCTGGACGGGCGATGCGACGGGTGGTAACGGGTCTAAGGGCTCGGACTTGATGTGCACCTCGTCGTCGTTGTGGTGCAAGACTGTGGCGTTGGGGATGTGGTGATCGTTGTGGTGGTCGACCACTACGATAGTCGTGTCATTCGTGCCATTGGTCATGGAGTTGGACAGCAGTTGTTTGGTGTCCACTGGTTTGGTGGGCGACTGTCGTGGTGGCGATAGGTTGCCGTTGACAGGACTGGACGCCATATTAGCCATACTAACCATACTAAGCATACCAGTCCCACTGCACCTGCACTGCTGGCACTGCCGTGACTGCACTGATTGCGGAATCCTATGATAGGAACGCCTCGTCTCGTTCCGCCCGACGCTCGCGATAATGATTGGCTCCTTCTCTCGCTCTCTGTCTCTCTCAGTCTCCCTCTCTCTCAAGGTTAACACAGACAGTGCACACATACCAGTGCCACATACGCTATCATACTCTGCCAACTATGTATAGCTTTAAATTTAAAGCTTTCATTTGGCTCCGGGCACTTTTCACAGAA